GATCTCGTCTCACTGCAACCTCCACCTCCGGGTTCAGCCTCTTGAGTAGCTGAGATTGCAGGCACCCGCCACACCCCCAGCTAATTTTTGTATATTTAGTAGAGACTGGGTTTCGCCATGTTTGCCAGGCTGGTCTCCATCCAACTCCTGACTTCAGGTGATCTGCCTGCCTCTACTGGTTTTAAATGTGAATTTTAAAAAATTACAGAGGCCGGGCGTGGTGGCTCACGCCTGTAATCCCACCACTTTGGGAGGCCGAGGCGGGCGGATCACGAGGTCAGGATTTTGAGACCAACCTGGTGAAACCCGTCTCTACTGAAAATATAACAGCAACAACAACAAAATAGTTGGGCGTGGTGGCGCGTATCTGTAGTCCCAGCTGCTAGGTAGGCTGAGGCAGGAGAATGTCTTGAACCCAGGAAGCCCAGGTTGCAGTGAGCCGAGATTGTGCCACTGCACTCCATCCTGGGCAGTAGACGGAGACTGCGTTTCCCGCCCCCCCTCCCCCCCAAAAAAAGGTAAAGAAAAAAATAAAATCTCATGTGTGGTTCGTTAAAATTGGTTTTCCTAGTCTGATGGGTCTTAAATTCCATTTGTTAAACATTTAGTGAGCGTGTCCCTTTAGTTATTGGCCATTTGTATTTTCACTTAAGGGAATTACTTGGTTCGTATTCTTCTTTTTTCTTATTTTTTGAGATGGAATCTCACTCTGTTTCTCAGGATGGAGTGCAGTGGTACAGTCTGGGCTCACTGCAATCTCTCTCTCCCAGGTTCAAGTGATCCTCCCACCTCAGTCTCCCTAGTAGCTGGGACTACAGGAGCATGCTAGTTGTTGTTGTAGTAGTTGTTGTTCTTGTTGCACGATATCGGGTCACCACAACCTCCGCCTCCGGGTTCAAGTGATTCTCTTGCCTCAGCTATCCTGAGTAGCTGGGACTATAGGCACGCGCCACCACGCCCTGCTAATTTTTGTATTTTTAGTAGAGACGAGGTCTCACCACGTTGGTCAGGCTGGTCTCGATTCCTGGCCTCGTGATCCGCCCGCCTCGACCTCCCAAAGTGCTAGGATTATAGGTGTGAGCCACCGCATCTAGCATCGTTATTGCCTTTTGTAGAGACAAGGTCTTTCTGTGTTGCCCAGGCTGGTCTCAACCTCCTGTCCTCAACAGTCTTCCAGCCTTGGTCTAGCAAAGTAGGATTATCACCATTCCTGGCCTGTTACTGCTTAATTAAAGAAAAACTATTGATTTTAATTTATCTTGTAATTGGTTACCTTCAAATGAATGTGGTTTTTGTTTGTTTTTGAGATGAAGTCTTGCTCTGTCACCCAGACTGGAGTAGCAGTGCTGCCATCTCTGCTCACTGCAACCTGTGCCTGCTGTGCTCAAGCAGTTCTCCCTGCCTCAGTCTACCAAATAGCTGGGATTACACGGGTGAACCACCAGTTCTGGTCAAATGAATGTTTTTATTTGTGCCGATTGGTTGAATCTGTCATTCTAGGTACACAATCACATCATCTGCAAATAAACATAATTTTGTTTTTTGTTCTGTTTTCCTTACATTAGCTCCACAATCAAATTTGATGAATTTTCCTACAGACAGTGGAATCTTACAGCTCACGTAACAAGCAAAATCTTTAAGTTTTGTTTTTTTGAGGTGATGTCTTGCTGTTGCCCAGACTGGAGTGCAGTGGTCCATGTCTACTCACTGTAACCTCTGTCTCCCTGGTTCATATGATTCTTCTGCCTCAGCCTCCCGAGTAGCTGGGACTGCAGGCGCCTGCTAGCACACCCAGCTAAGTTTTGTGTTTTTAGTAGAGATGGGATTTTACCATATTGGCCAGGTTGGTCTCAAACTCCTGACCTTGTGTTCCACCCACCTTGACCTCCCTATGTGCTGGGATTACAGGTGTGAGCCACTGCGCCCCGCCAAAATCTTTAGTATTTTACACTTTAATATGTTTACTCTTGGTATCTGGTTATAATTTTGTCACTTCTTGACAGATTTGTTTTATTTTCATTATACTGGAGTCATGTTGTAAAGGTCTACTGGGAATCCTGAAGGAATAATAAAAGACACATCTAGACACATCTTGATGAAACAAAAACCCAGTGGATATTAGGCTTCTGGTCAACAGCACCAGATTCTTAAAGGCCATGGCATAGTACCTGAGAGAAGGTATCTATCCAAAATACATATCAGGTAAAATGATTTTTGAACATGAAAAGATTGTCTTTATTACCCATATATTCATTGTGAAGCATATTTCTCAAGGCCTTCTTAAATGAAAAAGGAATAATATGAGTTGAACATCACTCAGACAACTTAGGGGAAAACACACTTGATAATAAATTAAGAGAGGGATCTACTTGACTTTAATGTTTGAGATAGTCTCTTGTGAGCAGTAGAGATTTGGTGACATTGATTCAGATGGTCCAATTTTAATTCTTGGTTCTGCACTAGATAATACAGTATTTAATTCTAGTACTTCAAATGCTTATTAATATGAGCTGTCAGTTTTTAGAATTAACCAGAGGACATAGCTTAGAAGGCTTTATTAGTTGAATAGAATGTAAATGTTATGAATCTTGATACAAAAATAAAAAACATAAGCTGAGTGTAGTGGCTTCTGTAATCCCAGCAGTTTGGGAGGCTTAGGCGAGTGGATATCTGTAGAGGCCAGGAGTTCAAGACCGGCCTAGCCAACATGGAGAAACTGGATCTGTACTTAAAATATAAAAATTAGCAGGGTGTGGTTGCAGGCATTGGCAATCCCAGCTGCTAGGAAAGCTGAGACATGAAACTTGCTTGAACTTGGGAGGCAGAGTTTGCAGTGAGCAGAGATTGCGCCACTGTACTCCAGCCTGGGCGACAGAGAGATTGCAAATTGCAAATGAAAAGATATGGGTATGTTAGAGAAAATTCTTTTCTTTTTTGTGGAACAAACAGATACTGTCTAAAATTGATAAACCAAGATGTAAAATAGATTATTTAAAGTTATAATGGTAACTCTAGCAATCAAAAATAGTTACAAGACACAACAGAATGTGGTTCTAGCTCATAAGCGGAAGTGGGAATGGGAGGAATGCTTGGTTATTTGGGGGCACTTTTGTAACCTTGGATTTTTCTACCATTTATAGATTAATTTGATAAATTACTTAAAAATGTACCTTAAGTTAAAAAATATAGGTTATATATAAAACAGTAAGTGTGTAACGAATGCTCTCTTTTTGTAAGAACATATATATTCCTATTTGCATAAAAACATTAGCAAGAAGGCTGAAAACGGAACGAGGGGCCAAATGAGACTTCTGTGTATGCCTGCTATTCAGTAAAATTATAGTGAAAATAAATCTTTGAATAATTAGACAAATGAAAGCCTATTGATTAAAGCTGCAGTTTATTTGTTGAGTTACTTTATATTTTTATTTTATCAAAGAACATAGTAAACTAACTTTACCTATTTTACCTAGATTTTTTAAAACCTTGATTTTTAAAAATTTTATTGGAATATTGGTTTAATAGTGTCCATGATAGTGTTACTTACAATGGGAAATGTTGGAGAGGTGTGTCGTTCGTATTTTGATATATAACATTTTGTTTGTATTTGGGAAATTAAAAAGTTGGTACATGCACTTAGTTTCTTTCTTCTTTTTCCTCTTGGGTTGCTTAACCTTCCCTTCCTCCCACCCAAATCCCTATGCTTCTGGTTTTTATAATCCAGTGGGGGAGGAGAGGAATGGGGCAGACATGTGCTTGACCAGCAGGTTAAGCTCTTAAGTCCTGGTGGGGAGGGCCAGGGTTTTCCACAGGAAGTATATTTCAAGAGGTCATTTTAGAAATGGTTTTTTTTTTTTTTTTTTTTTTTTTTTTTTTGAGATGGAGTCTCATTCTGTTGCGCAGGCTAGAATGCAGTGGTGTGATCTCAGCTCACTGCAGCCTCAACCTCCCAGGATCCAGCAATTCTCCTGCCTCAGCCTCCAGAGTAGTTGATATTACAGGCTCACACACCATGCCCTGCTAATTTTTGTGTTTTAATAGAGGTGGGGTCACCATGTTGGCAAGGCTGGTTTTGAATTCCTGACCTCAGGTGATCTGCCCGCCTCAGCCTTCCAAAGTGCTAGGATTCAGACATGAGCCACCCTGTCCGGCCAGAAACTAGTTTTTAACCTGATTATTTGCAGATGTTCTTTGGGGGCTTGACGTATTGAGAATTTAAAAAATAATTGAATGACACTTGGCTTACTCTCATATTTGAGTCTTCAGATTTATGTTTATTTGCCAAGTGTATGTCATACATCATAAGGGTGAATATTTCAGATATGTAACTAATTATATGTGTATTATAACTGCTGATGTTATTGGGATTTCTGTTCTTGGAGGAGCTGAGAAGACTTAATTGTATTTGAAGTTTGTGGCATTCTTTCAAATTGTATTTGAAGTATAAGACATGCTACCTACAGTCAGTCTCCCGACGTAAAGTTGTGAAAGATTAAAAGAAAGTATCTTTTCTGTTTGATGTATTAGTTTTACATTTCTTATTTTGTTATGTATTTAGTGCATATCATCAGTGAATTCTCCAGGATGAGCAGGGTAGTAAGATTTTAGCTATGGGATATAGATATTTTTATAGAAAATATTAAATATCATCTATTTGCTACCTTATAGAATTGATGGTACCAAGAAGCAAATCTGTGTATACAAAGAGCACTTTAGTGAAGCAGTAAAAACTAGTTATCTTATTAAATCTCAGCCATTTTGTTTTGCTTTAATATTCTGAATGACAAAATAAATGTTCATAAAAATGGAGTCTTGCTCTGTCACCCAGGCTGGAGTGCAGTGGTATGATCTCTGCTCACTGCAACCTTCACCCCCCTGGTTCAAGTGATTATCCTCCCTCAGCCTCCCAAGTAGCTGACACTGCAGGCACCTGCCACCACGCTCGGCTGATTTTTGTATTTTTAGTAGAGATGTGGTTTCACCATATTGGCCAGGCTGGTTTTGAACTCCTGACCTTGTGATCCAGCCACCTTGCCTTTCAAAGTGCTGGGATTACAGATGTGAGCCACAGCGCCCAGCCCTTGATTTTTTTTTTAAATGAACTTCAGCCAAGGAGAGATCACATCAGATTGACTACAGAAGTACCTTTGAGAATCCAGTTGTCTTCTATGAAGTTAAATATGTAAAAATTAAGATATGTTCAATATGTAAAAATTAACAGAGCCATTCTTCCCACTAAATTTTGTCTTGTTTTTGAGAAGTTATTTTATTAAAATGTTAGTATGTTAACATGTAATGGCTTTATTATTGTTTAAATGATTCTGAATGAATATTTTGAAGTTTTCCGTTTTAATCCTGATGTGGTAACTTGTATAAACAAAGCCCCTGTGAGATATTCAGGAATTTTTAAGAATGTGGAAAATCCCAAGTGTCATTTTTTTTCTAACTATTGTCCATATTAACACTTTGTTTTGGCTAAAATGATAATTATAAACTATAATATGATTTATTAATCCATTTATTAATACAATTACATGTGAGGTGGCATAAATTTTGTATTATTAAAAAGGAGAAATTTTTCAAATAGAAACACCTTTGGATTTTTTCTGAAATTAATTAAAGGTCTAGATTTAACTGAGCATAGTTTTGAAAGTATCTTCTCTATGGTATAGATACTCTCACACATCTATCCACAAGTATTCTTAGAGTATGCACTCTTTGTACTAACATTGCAGAAAGGCTTTAGTTGAAAATGGATTGCTGCATTCCTCTTGGTATTTTTACTTAAAACTAAATGTGTATATTACTTTCCAAATCTGTTATGCTGTGACCCTGTGTAGGTTGTAGTTATTAGCTTTGAAGATTAGGTAACTTAGAACACAGTGATTGGCTGCGCCGTAAAAGTAACTTAGAAGAGTTCATCTCTGCAAAGCACAGTGACCTAAATCAGATATGTGCTCACTGTCCCTGGAATCTTCAAGGGACTTACTGCATTACATCATCAAAAACAAGGCATTTCTGTATTACTATGGAAAGATTTCGCCTGGAGAAGAAGTTACCTGTATGTACCTAATTAAGATCTTGTATTTTGTTTACAATTTGAGTCAGAGTTGAATAGTGAAGCTCGAAGAAATGTCAGGCTTATTAGCACTGGCTTAGAATAGTATCATCCTCTGTGTCCTTGGCTGTGGATGTCATCTGTTGAAGAGTAATTCTGTGTGTAAAGTTAAAAATGTTCATAGCATCTTTATTCTTCTATAACACTCACTCTTTGGTTAGTTAATATTACTTGAATGAGTCTTTAAAAATTATTTGGCTGAGATACTAGGAAAGAAATCACTTTTTCTTAATGGTTAAGTATGTTTTGAAGTTAAAGTGTTCAATAACTATGAAATTATGTGATTAATCATAATTTATGACAGGCATTACTTTTGGGCAATAGCCATATGTCTTACGTAATGGAAAAAAAAATTTGTAACAGGGATCTCTGATGGCTGTTTTGATGGATTTTTGTAAACTTCAGAGTGTCAAAAAGAATATTAGACTAGATTTACCATATATTTTAAAGGAGTCTTTTAACATCCTTTACTCGTAGTACTTTGCCTTTGGCATGTAAAGTGTCATTTTTGATAATTTGACCAGAAATATAAATTGTGCATTTTGCTTCTTCAGGCAAGATAAATAACTATGAGAGGAATTAGTAAAATGTCTTATGAAGGTATAAATCTGTTTCTAACAAAACTTGGTTTGATTTTGCTGGGATTTGCATTTTGAATTGAATTTGATTTTGTCACATGTTGATGCTGGGTTTTTAAATTTATGATCTAGGTTTTTTTTTTTTTTT